AGAGGAATAATGGAGAGCATGAGTCAGACGTAGGAATTGGTGAGACTAGAACGGGAAGCGGAGTTGGAGAAACAAAGGCTTAGGTTGGAAGTTGTTAGCAAGGATGATGATGACGACCTTGTGAAAAGAAACAAGGTAATGAATGTACCCATGGATGATACTCTCTCCCTCGGGAAATCAAGACTAATGATGAATGATGCTTGAACCTCGAACACTTCAAGATGTGTGTTACATATGTCTTAGCTTAAGGAGGAGTGTTAAAATTATAAGCTAAGTCATGTGATTATCTATATTTATTATAGTTGATAGGTTATTAGCGACAGCTTTTTTTGGGTGGTTATTTACCAACAGTTGTGTTGGTTCATAAACCATATGTTGGTTAAAATTATGTCGCTTCATATGTATGTATATGTATATGTATATATATATATATACATGTGTGTGTGTGTTTGTGTATGTATGTTTGTTGAATATGAAAAGTTGCTCCAGTAATAATAAAAATTCCTTCGATCTCCAACCCTGTTTTTCTGTGTTGTTTCCTATTTTGATCCAACAAAGATCATCCGGTCACTACTAGAAATCAGTCACTGAAGTACCTTACTGACGGATTCCACATGAAAAAATCCATTGGATAAAAATTGGTCAATAAATAATACCGATGGGATCAACCACGGGTACATCCACCGGTAAATAGTCACTAAAGTAATTTATTACATTGAAAAAATAAATCATAAAACCACTAATCATCTACGACTGATTTCGAAGGGGATATTACCGACAGTTTACTAATGGATGACCAAGGGGCGTGTCGTCACTGACGTAAGTTTACACTTTGAAAAATAAATCATAAGCTCACGAATTATCAACAATTTAACAAAGGGTTAACGACGATGCATCATCCACTAGAGTTTCAGGTTCCTCAATTACCATGAACATTGTATCCCCTTCTCCAGTTTCGTTTTCATAGATGAAATTTGCATCTTCACTCTCATCCTCTTTTCGTTTCTTGCAGTATTTCATAGTGTGTCTATATTTGTGACAATAATAACATTGAGTTTCAGATAAAGATCTTACATGTACTTTTTCTTTGGCTTTTGTAGAGGAAAGGAATGCTTGTTCAGAAGGAGCATCTTCAAAATTTCTCATCCGAAGTTCATGGGACTTGAATGTCCCCGACATATTTTCCAAAGAAAGTAATGCCAAATCCTTTGATTCTTCGATGGCAACCACAACATACTCGAGTTTTCGAGTCAAACTTCCTAAAATCTTCTCTACAATTCTTTTATCTTCAATCCCTTCCCCATTAATTCTCTTTTGATTAGTGAGGGTAATCACATGGTTATAAAAATCTTCAACGGACTCAGATTCCTTCATCCGAAGTCCATCGAATTCACAACGTAAGATTTGCAAACGTACCATCTTAACTTTGTCTTCTCCATGGTACGTCCTGTGCAACATATCTCATGCATCCTTTGATGTAAGAGACGTTGAGATCCTCTCGAAAAAGGCTTCATCTACTGCTTGATAAATGAAAAGTAACGTTTTCCGATCTTTCTTCCGATCTTCTTTTAATTCTGTGTTCTGTTGGGACGTTGACGCCGTATGATTCTTGGGTTCTTGTAGCCCATCCTCAACCAAATTCCATATATCTTGAGATTCAAAGAACACCTTCATTTGAATACTCCATTGGTTATAGTTTCTACCGTTTAACTTCGGAAGTTGCGTTTGAAAAACATTGTTGTTTGAAGCCATTAGAGTTTTAATCTTTCCTGCATTTTTTGTTTTCGGTTTTCTTTTCTTTTGAACACGGGTTTTGATACCACTTTGTTGGATCAAAATAGGAAATAACACAGAAAAACAGGCCGGAGATCGAAGGATTTTTTATTAATACTGCAACAACTTTTCATATTCAACAAACACATATATATATATAGGTGGAGGTTCAAACGAGAACCCCTSTGATTTACGAAAACGCGAGAACAACTCAATAACCACAAATTTTTTTAATTAATAAATTAACTTTTATTATATATAAATAATTTAATAAGGGCAGTAATGTAATTAAG